ATTAAGGCTTCTAATTTAATATACTTCTCTTTTGGTGGACAGGTTGAATTGTGTCTTCCAAAAAGGATATGTTGGACCCCTAACCCCCTGTCTTATATTCCTAGCGCTGTTCTAACAGAAATACCTCAAATGGGCCACCTTAACAATAGAAATTGATTTCCTCACAGTTCTGGCAGCTACAAGTCCAAATTAGGGTCTTCGCCATGTTGTTTCCTTTTCTTATTGGAACCTTGAGTGTCCCTTGGTTCCTTGGTTTGTACACAGTCTTCATATGGCAGCTGTCTTCACGCTGTGTGTGTACATGTCTCCATCTGCTGTTCTTTATATAATTCAGAAGTGAACTCTATAAAACTAAGTTCTGATTGAACTCGTTCTGACTCACAGCAGTCCTGTATAGGGCTTCCAAGGAACAGTTGGTAGGTTTGAACCACCAACCTTGTGGTTAGCAGTCCAGTGCCTATCCTACAGCACCACACCATGATTCCCAAGTTTAGGATATAACTTAACACTTGTATGATTTCAGTGGATTGATTACATGATATTACATTGCATTATGGAAATGACATCAATTAGATTGTATCTTTAGTTATAGGGTTTAGGATTCAAAACACATTTTGGGGGAACACAATTTAATCTATAATACCTCTCACCCATACCTGTGAATATGATCTTATTTTAAAATAGCATCTTTTTGGGTACAGTTAGTTAAAACAAGTTCAAACTGGAGTGCTTACTACCATCGAATCAGTTCCAATCAATAGCATCCCTGTATTGGTTTCTTACGAACAGTTGGTGGGTTTAAACTGCCGACCTTGTAGTTCACAGTCTGTGCGGATCCTACATCACCACACCAGGAGTCCCGGAGTAGGGTGACTCATAATCTAATGGGACTGGTATCCTTATAAGAAGAGGAGAAGAGAATCAGACAGACACAGAGGGAGAAGAAAGACCTGTAGCAATGGAGGAGAGATTGGACTGATGCAGCCGCCGCAATCTAAGAACATCAAGAATTGTTGTAAGCCACCAGAAACTAGAAAAGAAACATGGGGCAGATTTTCTCAGAATCATAGTGACTGACATAATTTCAGACCTCTGGCCTCCAGAACTGTGAGAATCGATTTTTGTTACTTTAGGCCACCCACGTTTGTGGTACTTCATATGACAACCCTAGGAAACAATTATAGAGTATAGAGTAAAGACCCTTCACTTCACTTTGGGGAAAGGGGACTCTATTGGGCCACCTTTGTATTTCCTTGCTCTTATAAGGAAATAAGACTGGATTACGCTCTTACATTTATCAGGAAGGTCATCCAATCTGCTCTGATTTAGAGGAAGACTGTAGTATCCTTTTCACCAGCAGGACAATTTGATAAAGGGGTCAGACCCCACTCTGCAGGAGCCAGACTTGGAAGGGACATCCTGGTATCGCTCTCCACCTGGGCAAAACCTGAGCTAGGAGCCTGCTGCCCACCATCTCGGGAAAAGGCAGCCCTGGGGGCCATGGCTGGGTGGATTGACATCAGACCCCTTGTTCCTCCTGTCCAGTTACATTGATACAAATCTGTATGGGTTTCAGATGGTTCCCCTGTGAACAGCTCGAGCTGCTTAAAGGAAAACGAAAACAAAAGAAAAAGTGAACAACTCATATTTATACCAAACATTTAACACAACATAATTATCATATTTGCTTCAAACAACTAAGCCAGAACTTGTGGGAGGGGTGTCCCTGAGATGGTCAGTTCCCTGGAATGAGCTCTGAGCCAGCCAGCAGCAGCTCTGGCAGTGACTCTGCTCATAGGACGTGAAAAGACCTCCATGTCTGTGTTCTTGTTAGCATCTGCTGAGTCAGCCCCCGCTTCATAGGACGTGAAAAGACCTCCATGTCTGTGTTCTTATTAGCAGCTGCTAAGCCAGCCTCTGTTTCATGGTGACTCCATGCCCATCGTGTTACACAATGCTGCATGATGCTGCACCCCCCGCTCCCCCCACCCCATGATTGGCTGCAGATTAGACCATTGGGATCCAAAGGGTTTTCTTTGGTTGATTTTTGAAAGTAGTCCATCAGACTCTACTTTCTAGTTCTATGTTAGTTTGGACACTTGGCTGAAACATTTACTCTATCATGTTGTTGTTAAGTGTCTTTGGTTCCAACTCATAGTAACCCTGTATAGGGTTTCTAAGGAGCAGATGGTGAGCTTGAACCACCAACCTTTTGGTTCAAACCAACCTTGCAGTCCAGCGCATTAACCCATAGCGCCACACCAGGACTCCGTTTACCATCATGGTTGGCTGGCTGGTTATGTGCTGTGGAGTTGGTTCCAATTCATGGAAACCCTGCATAGGGTTCCCGAGGCTGTAAATCTTTAGGGAGCAGAAAGCCTCATCTTTCTTCTGTGGAATGGTAGGCAGGTAGTTTCAAACTGCTATGTTACCAGAGCTCCTTCATGTTGTTGTCCATTCCAACCCATAGCGACCGTGTATAGGGTTTCCAAGGAGCAGCTGGTGAGCTTGAACCACCGACCATACAGTTCAAATGACTTTGTAGTCAGACACATTAGCCCACAGTGCCATACCAGGACTCCTTCATGTTGTTGTTGTTAAGTACCGCCTCATATATCTCCCATGGAACAGCTGGTAGTTTCAAACTGCTGACCTTGAGGTTAGCAGCCCGATTTGTAACCACTACGCTATCATAGCTCCTTAGGACTCCTTCATAGTAATCCCAAAACTTCCACCAACAAACAGGTGGAGGTTGTAATTAAGGTACATTGGCCAAGACTCTCCCACATAGGAGGTGAGAATTCTATCACTGAGGCTTTGCAGCTTCTTTACAGGGTAGGGGAAAGGATTGGCCTGGGGGTTAGGTATCTTGTGTTCTAGACCTAGAACACAAGCAGATAATTGAGTGGACTCCAGCAAATCAATTGATTTCTCTGAGACTCAGTTTCTTTATTCTTAGTGTATTGGACTACACTTTCTAAAGTTCTTCCAGGTTTACCACATTAAGAATGGATACACAATCACAGCACCTAAAATAACTCTACATTAAGGCTTCTAATTTAATATACTTCTCTTTTGGAGGGCAGGATACAGCCAAATTCCATACCTCATTGTCTCCTACAGACAGAATACCCTCTCGTATTTGTTGAGCGCGATCTCCCAACTGAAACTCCAGCTCTTCCACCTGCTGCCTCAGAGCCTTGCGTAGTGCCTGCAGTTGCCTGGCCTCCTCCCTGCAGGTGAATAATAGAAAACAGCCCCAGTAACAAACACCCACAGGTGTAGTCTCTCACAATGTAGGTCACCACTTTGGAGGATTTTTTTTTTATTTTTCTTTAAAGAATGTCATCTTTCCTTTTGTCAGTTTCAGGCATACGTATAGTTCTAGGGCAAGTTATTATTTTTTTCCAAATCAACTCAATTGCAGTGTGATTTACGTACCATAAAATTCACCCATTTTAACAGTACAATTCTATCAGTTTTTAATAAATTTACCTAGTTTTGTAATCATAGTCACCATACAATTTAGAAAATAAGATCCCTTAGGCCCTTTTCAGTTTATTTCCACCTACTCCCTAGCCCCAGGCAACCACTACTCTACTTTTGTGACAGACATTTTTAATATGTAAAAATAATGTAGATTTCCAACATTTGCATGAGCCTCATTCACTTTGATTAAAGCTGCCCTGCTGGTAACCCCCCTCCTCCCAGCTCACAGCTTCTCCAAAACATCAGTGGCCTAAAAGAGTAAGAGAATGGCTTTTATTCTTTAACAGAATCTAGTGAATCGCTGACAGAGGCTCCCATGGAGAAAGTAAGAATAAGAGCTTGGAAGTAAAGGAAAGTCTGGCATATTTCTCATTAGTCCTGCTCTGATGGTCCTCGGTCTCGACCTGATTACCTTTTCTTGCTCCAGGTGTGTGAGCTGATACTTACTTTTATGACTCCCTTACATAATTACCTTTCCTCCTCTGACATGTCCCTGGAAAAGATCTCCTGTTGTCCCTTAAGGTGCTGTTCAATTTCCTCTAAATGCTCCCGGAAACTCTGGCATACTGTCTGCATGGTTTCCATCTCCTGGACTGTGCACTGCGAACAATTATAAAGAAGAGCCCAGAATGACTTTCTTGGAACTAAGTCCCTTCAGATTCACTATAAAAGCTCTCCAGGACTGCGCCTGCCTTTCCAGTTGGGCTCACCTGTTTCCAAAGACGTTGCCATGGATTGAATTGTGTTCCCCCAAAATAAGTGTTGGGATTCTCACTCTTGTGAATGTTTGAGAATAGAATTTTCTTTGTTAAGTTCATGAGATCTTATCCATGTAGAGTGTGTAGTAAACCTGATCACTTCCCAGTTATTAAAGGAGCAGATTAAACACAGAAGTAAACCCAAATGGGGAAACTATGCCAGAACCTGGGGATCACCAAGAAGCCAAAGAATGCTTGGGATACAAAAGCAAAATCTTGTCTGTTGAAAGAGACAAGGATCTTCCTACTGTCCTGAGTTATGACTTCTAGCCTCCTGAATTGAGAAAATAAGTTTCGATTCCTTAAGACTTCCTACTTGTGGCATTTATGTAAGAACAGCAGTAGGTAACTAAGACAGAAGCCAGGCCACAAAGAAACATTGGGGAAGAGAATCATCGAAAGAGCCCAGCCTTTGGCTTCTTGGAGTGACTGGTGGTGGTGGTGGTGGTATGCCGTGGAGTTGATTCCAACCCTATATGGGGTTTTTGAAGCTGTAAATCTATACAGGAGCCGAAAGCCTCATTTTTCTTCCAGGAGTGCCTGGTGGACTGGAACTGCTGATCTTGTGGTTAGCAACAGAGTGCATAACCTAACCCTCCTTCTTGGGGCAACTAAAGGATCAGAAGTTGACTGGGACAGGACCCTTTAAGGTGAAGATGCCCCATCTTGAAGATGGACAGGCAGTCTGGAGGACTACATAATGCAGGGTTGTGAGATGAAGCCAGAGGACCGACAGAGGGCCAGTGTGAGGTCTTGTGCTTAGAACATGATCTGCCCACCTCCAAACCACATCCCCCATAGTTCCTGATGTAACTCAGTCTCTGAGCCCTAGTTTTTCTTAATGAATGTGCTTTTACCTTAGTTTTGCTATTGAAGGAACCCTGGAGGTGCTGTAAGATAAGCACTGGATCGCTAACCTCAAGATCAGCAGTTCAAACCCACCAGCCGCTCTTCGAAAGAAAGATGAGGCTTTCTGCTCCTGTAAAGATTTATAGCCTCAGAAACTCTATAGAGGGTCGCTATGAGTCAGAACTGACTAGATGGCTGTGGGTGGCTGGCTGGGTGGAGCTGGTTAAGTGTTCAGTTGAGCACTAAAAGATGGGTGGTTTGAACCTACCAGCTGCTCCATAGGGAAAAGATAATCAGTCTGTCTCCATAAAGGTTACAGCATGTGAAACCCTATGGGGCAGTTCTACTCCGTCCTACAAGGTCACAGGAATAAACTTGATATCAATGAGGTTTTTTTTTTTTTCCCAATCTATATCTCCTCAGAAACCCTATGCAGGGTTGCTATGGGTCGGAATCGACTTGACGGCACTTAACAACAACAACAACATCTATATCTCCTTTTTGTTAACACTGGAACTTGTGGTTAGTAGTCCAGTGCTAATCTTCTAGTGTCATACCAGAACTCCATTTGCTGGGCACTGTGATAATTTGCTGAATTTTTATCAACGGTCTCTCCTGTTTTCCTTCCCAGGTTGAAACACTCTTTGAACATATGCATAACTCAGAACCACAGAGCCACCATCCATTGGAGTGAATGCTGTGAAAGCTTGTTAGCCCTTACTGCTCTCAGTACCAGGCCTGTGGGTGTGGAGCTTTCCCAGACCATGTGGCAGAGGTTGCTATAGTTACCCACTCACTATCTTTATTAGTTCTCCTCATTAACAGAATACCTTAGGGACAACAATGCATACAGCTGAAAAAATGACATCTTCCAACTTCCCTTACAGATAGGCTAGTCGATGACGTGGAAGTGAGAAACTTGGAGTGGGCTTTTCAGAAACACTTTGTTTTTGTCCCTTTGAGTCAGTACCAAGCCTCTATAGGTTTCTGAGTTGCTGCTGGTGAGTTTGAAACGTCAACCTTTTGGTTAGCAGTCCAGTGCTTATCAGAAGCTCTTTCCAGGGAACTGATTTAGTGGGCAGGCCCCTTTTAACATATTCTTTTACTTCCTTTCAAGGAGACCAGTCTCATAACCCTGTTTCTAGGCAGACTGGTTTCTTACCCTTTTCCCCAAACTACATGGCCTAGATCGTGGCAGTGTGATAGTTATTTTTACTGGAATTGTTATACTCTTCTGAAATATTTTCTTAAGTGTAATATTTTTATATTAAAAACTCCATTATTTTTTCTTTGAGAGTTTAATTTTGATTTTGTCACTAATTTTTATATTGAAAATTAATTTGCATAGTAAATCTCTCAAATTATTTTTTGCATTATGTGGCTAGATTTGAGCTAGTTAGAGAAGTTTTTACGCATTACCGTTGCTATTCAAGTGCTTGAAAGACAACTAGAGTGCTAAACTGCTACCAGAAAGGATGGTGGTTCAAACCTACCAGCAGCTCCTTGAAAACCCTATCCAGAGTTGCCATGAGTCGACACTTACACAGCAACACTTAACAACAACAACAAAACTGGAAAACAATCTTGGAGACATCAAGGGATTATATATATATATATATATGTATGTATATATATATATATATATACACACACATATATATACATATATATTTATTATATATATTAATATATATATATTAACATGGAGTGGTTAATTAACTTATCTATGGTAAAAAAAAAAAAAAAATGGCAGGCAGATTTCAAACCCAAATCTCCTGGTTCTTTTTTTCTCCCTTCAAGATCTGAGTCACAGTAGGGAATACAGTGTAGCTGGACATATGGAGAAGTGGTCTGTCCCTTAGGAGTAAGCTGATAGAGTGGGTCTAGGAAGGACCCCTAGTGACATAATGGGCTAATCTTGGGCCCACTGACTGTAAGGTCAGCTGTTTAAAGCCACCAGCGGTTCCATGGAAGAACTATGAGTCTGCCGGCTCCTGGAACAATTTAGTCTTGGAACCCATAGGAAGCAGTTCTACTCTCTCCTATAGGGTTGTTATGCGTTGGAATGGACTCTCTAGCAGTGAATTTGAGTAGTTTCCTACAAGATAAACCAAACTGCCCAAGTGCTTCAAATTCACTTCAAAGTTCTAGGGCCAACGAGGTGAGGGGGCCTGGAAATATGAGGCTCAAATAGGATGAACATTATAGACATTGAGTTTTATGCTTAGTCAACTTGGTTTGGAGTAACCTTTTGTGGACAAAAGGTACAGAGGGCTAGACTTGGAGGTAAATGTTGTGTTCTTCTTTCTGACAGGGAGTGATGTGGAAGTTTCTGAAAGGCTGCCATCTTCTGGTCATTTGTGGAAACACACAAAAATACATTTGGCCCTAGATAGAAATGTCCTTTCAGAATCAAAGGAACCTGAGGCTAGAAAAACACAAAAATGTTTTGAACTCTTTGTTCCTGGATTAAAACCCTAATACAATGCAAGGTGTTCTGTACTGACCCCAATCCATTGAAATAAGCTTTAACTTACACATTAAGTGTAACAACAGCAATAAACCAATATACTTTTGATTTTGAATTGACTCATATTACTGTTGTATGTTTTTCATTTTCTTTAAACTCAAACAATAAACATTATGGAATAAGTTTTTAACACAAAATATTATTTCTAATACATGTCATTGTCATTTTTTTTCTTCTGGAAATAATATTTTTCAATGAACAAATTAACCAGTTTGATAATTGACTTACTTTTGTATTTGATCCATACCTCTTTTACTTTTCTTGTAACTAAATGCCAAGTCTAGCCAGAATCCCAAATGTTCAGAACAAGTATGTAAGTAGATATGTGTATTCTCAGTTTATTTTCTATGGAAAAATTGTGATTTTATATTGTAGGTATAATAAATACTAGTACAGAGAAGTGTTCTGTGGATCAGTGATTTCATTTGTTTTGTCCAATGTTCTGGAAAATTATGCTTTATTGATATGAATAAAAAGAATTCTTTTGTACAATTAATTATGGCGACACATGAAGTGTTTTCACTTGTCCAGAAACACTATGCTGTTAAGTCCCATTGAGTCATTTCCAAGTCATAGCGACCCTGCATATGGTTCCCAAGGAGTGACTGGAAAATTTGAATTGCCAACCTTGGGGTTAGTAGTCCAGTGCTTATCCAACAGTGTAAACCAGGACTCCAGAAATACTATGTTGTTGCTTTGAACTGCCATCGAATCAGTTCCAACTCATACAGACCCTGTATAGGGTTTCCGAGGAGTAGCTGGTGAGTTTGAACAGGAACCTTGTGGTCCTATGCTTTATCCTATGTTGTTGTTGTTGTTGTTATGTGCCGTGGAATTGGTTCTGACTCATAGTGACCCTGTACAGCATTTCCGAGGCTGTAAATCTTTACGGGAGCCGAACGCCTCATCTTTCTTCCATGGAACAGCTGGTAGTTCTGAACTGCTGACCTTGCGGTTCGCAGCCCGATACGTAACCACTACAGTACCACATAAGTCCCTCTTTTGACATTAGGCAGAAGGAATGGGGAGAAGTTGGCCCCCACTCAGCAGCTCTCATTACCCCTGGAACTGACCCAGGTTTAAGCTTTGGTTTTTATGCTAAACAACATCGTTTTCAATTAATTTATGTTGTTATTAACATTTAACTTATGTAGGTTTCTATGTGTTGAAGGATCCATGTAGTAACTTGCTTTATCTTTCAAATAGCTTCTCATGTTAGTATAGAGCCCGGGTGTGGCATGCAGGATAAGCACCAAATCGTTAACTACAAGGTCAGTGGTTAAAACCTACCAGTTGCTCCTTGGAAACCCTATAAAGAGTTGCCATGAGTCAGAACCAACTTGGTGGCACTTAACAACAACACAATGTTAGTATCACAGTTATATGTTGTTGTTGTTGTTAAGTGCCGTTGAGTCGACTCCAACCCAGAGCGACCCTGTATAGGGTTTTTGAGGAGCAGCTGGTGAGCTTGAACTGCCAAACTTACGGTTTAAACTGCTTTGCAGTCTGGTGTATTAAACCACAGTGCCACACCAGGACAGTTACATAGATCTGTATATTTTAAAGGTGGATATATCTTTGCTCTGGTAGCGTAGTGCTTATGAATTGGGCTGCTAACCTCAAGGTCAGCAGTTTGAAACTATCAGCTGTTCCATGGGAGAAAGATGAGGCTTTCTGCTCCTGTAAAGATTTACAGCCTCAGAAACCCTATACAGGGTCGCTATGAGTCAGAACCGAGTCCATGGCACATCACAACAACAATAACAAAATCTTGGCCTGGAGTGCATTGTCAGTCAAATTTGAATTTGAATCTGGACCTGAGTATTTTATAGACTTCAATCTTAAAACAACTTGTATTAAACCTAATGAAATCAAGTCAACTCCAACCCATAGTGACTCTAAAAGGCAGAGTAGAACTGCTCCTTAGGGTTTCTGAGACCGTCCATCTTTACACAAGCAGACAGCCTCATCTTTCTCCTGCAGAGTGGCTGGGGGGTTTGAAGCACCCACCTTTAGTTTAACAGGCCAATGTTTAACTCACTGTACCAGTGATATAAATACTCTTCTTATTTTATAACTAAGAAGGAACCTGTCTCTGGAGAAGGATATCATGTTTGGTAAGGTCATAGAAAAAGAGGAAGACCCCCAGTGAGATGGATTGGCAAAGTGGCAGTATTAATGGGCTCAAGCGTGGCAACAATTGTGAGGTTGGCCCAGGACCGGGCAGTGTTTTGTTCTGTTGTGCACAGGGCCGCTATGAGTCGGTACTGACTCGATGGCACCTAACAACAACAAGAACAATTTTACAAACCAGGAACCTGGCTCAGGTAGCACAATGGCTTTGGAAAAATGATACCGCTAAATGAATTTAAGACCGAGAATTTTCAGTTTAAATCAAACTGAAAATGAGGTGCTGATGGATTGGTGTTTGTAACCTTAGATATACGATCTTATTGGTCTGTGTCTTAGTTTTCCATTTGTAAAATGGAGGTTAATAATAAATTTTGCCTTCCTTACTTCACAAGGGGATTGGAAACATCAAGCAGGAAGACATTTGTGAGACTATATCATAAACAATGAAGCATTCTACGACATTTACTATGATTAACAAAGAGAAGGCTGTGCACGGGATCTCACATTCAGAAAGGAAGGCCCAACATTCCCCTGAGGTGTTTATTGTGGGTGAATCTGCCTCTCCATCTTTGCAGAGGTCAGTACTTACAGCACATAGCTCTCTCACTGCAGTGTCCTGGAGGACTTTCAAAGTCTTCATGAACTCAACTTCCGGATGAGGGCTGTGTGAGTGTGGGTGATGTCTATAGGCTTGGGGGGTGGGACCAGGGCCTGACCCCTGTGTGTAGCAGTGTGAACGGTGATGACAACAGATACAGCAGTGGACAGGTGTGCCATGGCAGGTGCCCACCGAGTAGGTATTAGGGAAGCCTGCGTCTAGAGAGACAGATTTGGTGAGGGGCTTATGTCCATGTGCCAGGGTCTTGTTACTTGAGCATGCACAACAGTGCCAGGCCCCGGGTTCACATAGATAAGTCTGAATGGAAGCATCTCTGGACTGTCTTGCTTCTGTCCTCAGCCCTGGTCCTGTGGAGGTAATTGGGTCACACATGGTGCATTCTAAAGCTGTTCCTATAGAATCTATCCCCAAGGCCACAGTACTCTGAGCAGCTGGCATCAGATTGGAGGGCATATGGATGGTCACAGACCTGGGCTTGCCAGAGTTTGAGTCAGCATTTGGAGAAATGTTTCCCATCTCCGCTTCTGCCATAGATGATATTTGGTCCAAAGTACTATACATTGTCTTTGCCTGGGGTGTCTCTTCAGCCAGTTTACCTGGGGAAAGATTAGGCTCGTCACAGCCTTGAATATAGTTGTCTGTATGGGATGCGACATCCCTGAGCCTGGGGAGAAGCTGTGGTGGGTTTTCAAGGGTCAGTACTGTGCTGTTGATGTCTGAACAGACTTGGCTGTTTTCTTCTCTTGAAGCTTCAGAGTCAACATGAAGGAATTCATCTTGAGCATGTTCAGTTTCAGGTGACCTTGGTGACGCACAGTGGCTTTCCACAGGTACTTTCCCAGTTGCCTCTGGTTTCAGAAACCCGTCTTTTACTTCTGTGCTGTGGGACACTGTAAATCCTAGAGGGCAATCATATGTAGATGTGGCTGCACCTCCAACAACCTTATGTTCAGAGTAGGGCATTGGGGTGCCCTTCCCTAGATGTGCTCTCCCAGCAGTGGTCTTGTTCGAGATCATATCTGGGATCAACAGCTCTGGTGGATCCTCCAGAATACCAAGCTGAGTTTCTTCCTCCTCTATCAATACTGAGGTCTTTTCTTCCAAGACGCTCCAGTCTTGGCTTGAAATTGATGTGCTCACCATGCTCTTGGTATCTGACTCATCAGACTCTTGCTGACAGTCCTGGGATGGTGCTAAACCACGGCTCTGATTCCTAAGACTCTGGCTACTTGGCAACAGAGGAATCTGTAGGCGAATCCAGAAAAAAGGCAAATTGGTTAGGAGTGTAGGGGGTTACGAAGTGGTTTTTATTTATTTACTTTTGTTTGCTTTCTTATTGACTTTGCTTGAGACCTCCTCTCTACGAGGCTCAGCTTCCTTGTTTAGGCCAACTATGAATGAAGACAGAAATGAAGGAAACAAGAGCAACCTGGTCTAATGTAACCCCATCATCCCCTGCCTGTTGGGTTCAGGTATCTTATATCTTCTAGACATGGATTGGGCCTTTCCAATTGAGAAGGGGACACTTTCAAACTTCCATTCTCTTTCCAGTTATCAGTGAGCGAGGTCAAGGAGGCAGGGACACTGATAGAGTGGAAGTGGGGACTTAAGGATTAGCAATAGGGTTTTAATCAACCCTTAAGCACACTTTACCTGGAGAGGCAGTGGTTCTGGTGGCTCTTCCAGAAACCCACTGCTGTCTGACTGGCAGCTGTTGGTTCTGTTTACCCCAGTGCCTGCAGAAAGAAATCAAGAGACCTTGAAAATACACTGCTAACAGGACTGGGACAAATCCTCAGTGTGTCTGGTATGCCAGCAATACTCAATAACTGCCCGTTGCACAGAAGTATAAACAAATGAGGAAATTCCAAGGGCATTATGGTCCTCAGTTCTCACAGAGTCCACGGAAAACTACCTCATTGTTTCTTGATGCAGGAGTAAAACAAGAAACCAAGGAAGAGGAACTCTCTAAAAGCTAGAGAGACAGCCCAGAAGAAAATGCATTTGCCTTATATGCCATTCTAATAAAAGAATAAAGCACCAACATTTATATGTTTACAGATTTTTATTTTTACTAAATTTGGGAAAGAATCTCATACCATAACTCCAGTTGGAGTGTCTTTATGTACCTATAGGCCCATTTCTTATCACTTATGAGAGACTGGAACAGGGAGGGAAAGAATAATTTGAATTTTGGACAAGAAACCCTGTGGGATAAAGCACTGCACTGCAAGGTCAGTTTGAATCATAAGATCAGCAGTTCAAACTCACCAGCTGTTCCTTGGAACCCCTATGTGGAGTCACTATGAGTCAGAACCAACTCAATGGTTAACAACAAAAAAAACAACCAATTTATAAACATGAGCATCTTGAAATTCTAAATCCAGCTGTAGCTTCTTATGCAAATATCATGTTATCATTATGGGGTAGGGGAAATGGGTGACTGCTAAAAGGTCACCTACTAAAAATCAAATTATAGGATTTTTTTCCCCTCTCTGCTTTAATGATAAATGCTTCCAGAAACAGCAAACTATAGGTTAGAACAGAAAATCTCCTGGGAGGAAGGAAGACAAGGAGCAGAGGGAGAAATCTGGTTTGTGTTCCATAAGCAGACTGGAAGTGGGTCTGAACAGTACATTGAAAAGAAAAGCTATTCGTTGGAGATCTCATACGTGCTGTCTGGTACCTGAGCAACAAACAGGGGATTTGGCTTTACTTGAAGAATGAACTGCTGCAGAAGGATTCAAAGGGGGAAAAAATCACTTTGCTTAGGAGATCTGATGTGGCACTCTAGGATCAGCACTAGACTGCTAACAACAAGGTCAGCGGTTCAAACTCACCAGTCGCTCCTTGGAAATCCTTGCAGTTCAAATGGCTTTGCAGTCTGGTGCATTAACCCACAGTGCCACACCAGGACTCCTAATGCAAATGACAAGACACACTTGGAAATATCATAGCTTGGGTCAGGTGCACCTTAGTCCTCAAAGTGACATCTTTAATCTTTAACACTCTCAGTTTTGCACAGCAAAGTTTCCCAGTGCAATACATAATTTGATTTCTTGATTGTTGCTTCCATGAATATTGACTGTGAGTCAAGTAAAAGGAAATCCTTGACAACTTCAATGTTTTCTCCAACTATCATGATACTGTTTTTTGGTCCAGTTAAGATGACTATAATATTTAATACCTATAAGGTAAAATTCACAATGTCTAGCATCTAATAAAAAATGTCAAGCATCCAAACAAGCAGGAAAATATGATCCATAATGAGAACAAATCGAAACTGACCTAGAGCTACACAGACACTGTCAAAAAGTTAGTGTGGTTGTATTCTGAATGTTTGCAAAGACACAGGAATGATTAAATATGTTAAATAGAGATATGGGAGATTTTTTAAAAGATCCAAGTTCAGCTTCTCAAGCTGAAAATCACAAAGTGTCAAGTAAAATCTACACTGATGGGATGAGCAGCAGATTGGAGATTTACGAGGAAAATATTAATGAAATTGAAGTCATAGTCACACGCAATATTCTAAATGAAACTCACAGTGAAAAAAAAAAAGATATGAAAAAGAGTGCCAATGATTTGAGGGACAACCTCAAGTGGCAAAAAATGTGGCGCATTTGAAAATATTTGAAACAGTAGATTTAAGAATACAGCACAACCCAAACACATGAAACAAGAAGAAAATAATATCAAGGAACTTCAAAATAAAAAATTTCAACACCAGTGATAAAGAGAAAAATCTTAAAAGCATCAAGGGGTGGAGGAGACATTCTGCACAGAAGAACAAAATTAAGGATGACAGCAAATTTCTCACTGGAATCAATCCATGTGAGAAGACAGTGGAGAGTCATCGTTAAAATAATGAAAGAGAAAGAAAAAATGTCAACGTGAAATTTTAGATTCAGTGAAATATCTTTCAAAAATAAAGAGAACAGGGGAAGGTAGAGTCCCCACTGAATAGTTTTCATCTTGTCTAGACAGGTCTGGTGAAAGGAAATGGGGATAAGATTCTTATGATTCACTAGTGAGTAATTGTTGCCATGACTAATTGCGACAGTCACAATTGTAAAGGTAGAAGTTTTGCAACAAAACGGGGAATAGTTAGTCGTACAGTTCAGAAACAGAGGACCATAGGACCATCAAGGGAGAAGAGCACCACCGCAACACAGGACCCTATCCAGAGAAGCAGCAACACCAGAGATGGAGAGAGAGAGAGAGATGATGACATGGAGAGAGGGAGCAGCTGAGGACTCTAGACTCATGAAAAGAGAAAGATTGAGTGCTGGTGGCCAGGAGGCAGGCTTATAGCGTGTACCCTTTGGTTGTTTAAATTATTATATGTTCCTGAGGGTTTTTGTGTACTTCTCCCTACTGATACCACCCTAGAAGACACCACCCCCCCCCACCCAAATAGAGGGAATGGAAGCAAATACTGTTGAATGATGATGCATGGAGCAGATTGTAATCATTGCAAAGAAATGATAATGTAAAGCCAATGTTCTCCCATGTAACTTATCACTCAGTTAACAATAATAATTATTAAAAAAAAGTCAATCTACTGTTAGTGATTTACACTTGGAAATATGTTGCCATAGAGAAATGTTCTGCAATTGACATTAATTTTGTGGAATAAATGTCATGTTGGTGCCATGTTCTGTCAATAAATAAATAAGAAATAAAGATGTTTTCAGATGTACAGAAACCAAAAGAATTCATTGTAACCCAGTCTGTAGTATATGTAATGTTAAAGGAAATTCTGCAAGCAGAAGGAAGTGTGGAATTTCATAAAGGAAAGGACAATAATTAAAAGGGTAACAATTAGAGTAAGTACTCAAGTGTTAAAAATTATTTTTAAAGGATAATTGACAAAACAAAAATAACAACCACGTAGTATGGGGCAAATAATAAAGACTTAGGTAAATCTATAAATACCTGTTATGTATAGAAAGAGAATACTGCAAGATTTTCATTTGACTATGATATATAATTTGTATAAACCTTTTAACTTAATTAAAAAAAATTTGGGCCAGAGGAACTAGCATATACTCATTGTATAGTTATTATCAGAAACTTATTTGTATAATATTTAACCCGCTCATGGGGACTTCACTGTCATAGCTATAATTAATCCAGCCAATGTAAAAATGTTTCAGATTCTTGTAAAGTAAGAAAACAAATCACCAACAAGGATAAGTAAAAAACAAGAAAAATATTGCTACTAAGGTTCCAGTTTATACACTTACTAGTTTATTCCAAACAAAATGTGTCTAAATATGTCTCTCTGATCCATGGATGGAAACACACAATTTCTCTCAGTAGTACACTTGTCTTAGTCTTATTCATTATGGTGGTTTCCAAAACAACAACAACAACAACAACAAAAAACAACAACAACAAAAAAAACCCCAAAAAAGTAAAGAATAGTCCAATCAAAACAGTGGCTTCTGAGGAGATCTACTGATCCAGTTAAATTCAAGGCAGAGAGGTAACCTCAGAAGGTTAAAGAGACTGCTTTTTTTTTGGGGTGGGGGGGGGGAGAAATCCAAAGGGAAAATATTGATAGTTTTTCTGAAAGTACACAAAGCAAACAAAATCACAGGGGATTAATAGGGAGACATTTTAAGAAAATAGAAAATATTATTGTTGAAAAAATGACCAGTAGAATTGTGCAGAGGGATTTTTTTAACCCCTACCAGAACAATTCACATGATCATTCTTTTAGGGTGAAAGGCTGTGAGAATCTCATTGAAAAATCTTACCCCATCTTGATCTTTCAGACTTCTTTTTACTCCCTAAACTAAAAGAAACATAATCTGAGTCCCTCCAGGATACCGAAACTGCTTTTTTGATGCATACATTGAAGAGGGCAAAGTCTTTGGGGAAAGGTTGGGTGGTGGTTGTGTGCCATGGAGTCTGGTCCTGCATAGGATTGCCGAAAGCTTCATTTTATTCCCACAGCATGTCTGGTAGATTCTATTTACTGACCTTGTGGTTAGCAGCTTAGCTTGTAACCTTGACACTAATGCAGTTCCTTTGGGGAATGATTAGAGAGATAGAAATATTGTCTTCAGAAGTTCATCAATATAGATGAAGGATGTCTCAAGAAACAATAATCTCACATTTTTGATAGTTTTGATATTTTTGATAGTTTTGTCTAATAAAGTTTTCTATGATTTTGTATTAAAGTTGAAAAGATGTCACTTTGAAGACTAAGATGCATCTGACCCAAGTCATGGTACTTTCAATTGCCTCATATATATGGGGAAATTAGATAATGAATAAGGAGAATCAGAGACAAATCAATACATTTGAATTATGGTGTTGGGAACACTATACCATGGACTACCAAAAGAACAAACAAATTCTTGGAAGAACTATAACCAGAATGCTCTTCAGGAGTTTCTCACACTTTGGGCATGTTGTTATGAGGGACCAGTCCCTGAAAGAGGACATGATGTTTGGAAGAGTAGAAGTTAGTGAAAAAAAGGAAGACCCTAAACATAGTGGCTGTAACAATGAGCTCAGACATAACAAAGAGGGTGCTACAGGGCGGGCAGTGTTTCTTTCTGCTGTGCATAGGGTTGCTATGATCATAAAAGACACTTAACAACAATATGCTTTTGTAGCGATACTTTTTAGTTTACTCTCCTAGAGTCCTGGTGTGGCCCTGCCGGTTAATGAGCTAGACTGGAAATTTGGTTTGAACCACAAGTTTGGTGGTTCAAGCTCA